TTGTTGTCGCATTACCTCCCAAGTCCACGACTGGCCACTCAAGACTTATGTGGCATGGATAACGAGCATCAACTTCGATGATGCATGCATTTAGTGTTTTCTCCCATGCTTTTGTGCCGAGTTCTATTCAGTTATATTGTACAGTATTGTGCCATTCTTTGCTATTAACACGGATTCGCGTGTAATTGCCCTGAATGTAAGACACGGTTAGTCTGCCAATACACACCTTTAAGAGAACTGCCGCCTTGGGATCACCTTCCCTTAATCCCACCAGGGACTCGGCTATCAGTGACCGCACCCAATTGTAATCTTCTCGGCTGAGTTGTTGCTCACGGTAACTGTAGTAGCAGAGTGTAGGCTTGAGTGTTTCATGGTTGAGGTTGGTGATTGTATGCGAAGGTACTTATACTACCCAGTGTATACACAAGCCTAAGTCTAAGTAATTTGTCGTATGTCAAATGCACGCATACGTGTTTCGTGTAAGTTTAGGTAATATTTCGTATGTCAAATGTACGCATACGTGCTTCGTTGTGAGTGTTTCCTTCTGTACATACCAGTGGATGGGTGGTAGTATATAGTACACACAATGTTTTGGTGCCCAATATTTTGCTGGGATATGGCATCTGGGGTTGACCAACGGAAGAAGCCCAATTATAAACCAGTGCACTCGTTTTCGCGTATAAACCATTGGGTAAAACACACATATATATACAGGTTACACAGAAGTACATACGTGCACGCGTACAGTTACACACGTACGTACCCAAATTCACATTGAACAGAACCGCACAAAAAACACAGCCATCGCCTGCACTATATACTTGTAGCGAAGCCTGTCAATTGAGTCCACAAGCGCACTGAAAATGGCTGTCAGCATCAAAACAGGTCACTCACCATTAGTAAGATATGAAAATACATACTGGTAACACATTTACAATATACACACATGTAAACAAATATACCCGAACGTATTCACATTTAAAACATGGGCGCAAGCACAACATACTCGTTGCGAAGCCTGTCGGCTGTGTCGACCATGGCACCATAGATGGCTGTCATGATGTTATCAAAACAGTCCCTCTCCGCGCTGGTGGCCGATTGGATGTGCATGTTCTTGTACTTGCGCAACGCGTCTATGTACCGAACTCCCGCACTCTCATGCAGACACTGCATATATAAATAGATTTCACGTCAGTGGATAAAACATGGATACGTTGAGAGATGATTCATGATGCCATAAATAGACCATACCTGCTATTCTGGTATTCGCGCAGCGCGTGCATGTACTCCCGTGGTTCCATGCACTTTCAATGCATACAAATAAATTGTACGGCAATGAAACGGCTATAAATGATTTATGTTTTCATTGGGAGATGTTCTTAACCCATACATAAAATTAGTGCTTGCCACAGTCTATAGGACTACATGCGAGCCAATGCCATTTATATGATATATATGATATATATATATATTTACTAATAGGACCCCAACTAGTACTTTGCTACGCACTCGCGGCAATTACCGTCGAATCCGCAAATGTTAGCGGCCTAGAGCCACCGACGACAGAAATTATCACACTATACTCAAACATGTGCCTACAGTACACTTTAACATCGCAGTTTTACAAATACGAATCTAGATAAAAACCACTCACCTCGAATAAATGATCGCCCTGTCTGTGCATGTCGTACTGATCCTCGGGCCATTTACTGTGCACTTTCGTTACAATGTAATCTGCAGTAGTTTTATGGTGTATGTGAGTTTATAAGGTCGCAATTATATTAGCAGATTGACAATTTGCGTTCCGATACTACATAGGGTGTGTGCTAGCACTTGAAGGCTAAGTAGTAATGATGCAGTGACCAAGTAGTAACCTGGATATATTTACATCTATGCGCATTCGCACACACGCGCACTCACACACACATATATATATATATATGATGCATCTATATATATATATATATATATATATATATATATATTATACTACGTGTTATGTACGGT